AGGACTGGGCAGGGGGCACTTGTCCCTCCACCCTGCTCCTGACCTGTCCGTTCACCCTCTTTCCTTCCTGGCAATCCCCCCTCCCCACTAGGACTGGGCAGGGAGCAGTAGTCACCCACTCGCCCCCTTCCCTCTCGAGTCTTTCAGATTCCCAGCTGTGCCCCCAGGAACCCGAGCCTGGGCTTTGTGGGAGAAGGATGTGGGTTGTAGGAGATCGATGTCTCTGTTTTGGGTTGGTTGCCTGGGCTTTCGAGGAGACGCCGCCTCTTCCTCCTGGTTCCCCTCCTCCCTCGGTTTTGTTTTGACAGGAAACGTGCTGCTTGCTATAGGGGAGGGGAGAGCAGGAGACCGGAGCCCCGGGGTGGCAGAACTGGAAGGAACCTCAGCCATCATTTAAGGCCACCTCCTCATTTTACAAAGAGTTAAGACAGGGACAGGATTGGAACCCACTATTCGAAACCCAGTGTGCTTTCCAGCTCACCATCCTATGGCCCTCCCATGAGTTCTGAAATTGCATGGAAGCTCTGTAATGAGGCAGTAATAGCTACCTCTTGAGAAAGGGGGATGGGACCCAGAACTGAAGGGAGGGCTGCCGTTCCTTGCACCTGCCTAATTGCAGGGGGAGAGATCTGCTGCTCTCTGCTTGTCCCTTTTTCTCTCTTGAGTTACTTACTCCTTTTTTCCCTTAGAAAGACGGGTGCCTTACCCCTAGAGAGACTCTGAGCAGTCCCCCTAGGGACTTGACACACTTAGAGGAAGAGAAACCAGAGAAATACCATGGCCTGAGTCCCCAGCTTGAAACCCCTGGTTTCCAGTGTTCTGCGAGGCTGCATTTTTCTATGTGTTAATTAAGAGGATGGTGTTTGGAGTCCAAGGATCTGGGTTTGAATTCTGCTTCTTCCCCATACTAGCAGTGTTACTTTGAGGGAGTTAGTGACTTAACCTCTCTGCCTGGGCCTCAGTTTCTGGTTCTCAATCCTGTGAGTATCAAAGCCTCAGTTTCTTTTGTAAAATGAAAGAATTGGACTAGATAATCTCTGGAGGCCCCTTCCAGCTCTAAATCTCATGATTTTAGAATAATAACATCCTTTGGATCGGATACCAGTTTTCAATACCTGCCTACTCTTTCCTCTCTCTTGTAAGAATTACTTTTTGTTCAGTCATGTCTGACTCTTCGTGACCCTGTTTGGAGTTTTATCGGCAAAGATCCTGGAGTGGTTTGCCATTTCCTTCTCTAGCTCATTTTACAGATGAGGAAACTGAGGCAAACAGGGTGAAGTGACTTGCCCAGGGTCACATAGCTAGTAAGTGTCTGAGGCTGGATTTGAACTCAGGTCTTCCTGGCTCCTGGCCTGGATGCTCTATCCTCTGTGCTACCTGGTTGCCCCAACAATTACTTTTGTAGCGAATTCAGTAAGTTGGTGGGTCCCCCATTAGGAGTTTCAGCAGCTCAGAATAGGACCAACCCCGAAGTAAATCTTCATGTTTGTGGTTAACCTTGGAGAAAGGGGTTGTCCTAGACAAGAGCTGGATAAATAACATGAAGTTGGGACAGCATGTTAGTTTGGAGTTTTTCAAATAGTCCCGCTTTCTAGAAATTGACCTTATTGATGGGCGACTTCTGTAGATGCTATGAGTATTTGATTGCTAGTCAATGCCTGTTTTGTCTAAACACGCACGCACCTATTTCTGGATGCCTGGCGCTTAGCACAGTGCCTGGCACATAGTAGGGCACTTAATAATGTTTACTGAATTGAATTACATAAATATGACCTTCTCTGACAGAGAATCCCTGCTGAGTGATCGTCACCTTGTGCCAGGTTTTAGCTCACTGGTGCCACCATTACATTGGGCTGGACTGCATATAGGAGGAGGAGAGGTTTCTTTCCTGCTTTCAGCACCCTGTCTCCTGGCTGTCCCCAAGTGCCCAGGATCTAAGCCCAGGCATGACCCATGTTACGAAAAGCCTTTTCTAGATAACCCTGCCTCTGACCATTTTGCTTATGTTGGGAGGAGAGAGAAGTTGCTGAACAAGTCTTGAAGGTGGGCTCTAGGCCCACTTTCTCAGTTCTGCTATTTACTAGCCACATGACCTTATAGAAATCACGTCATCTCTCTTTGGCTCAGTTTCTTCCTCTGTAAAATGAGGTGAGGGGGATTGAGACTGGATGAGTCCAAGAGTCCTTTTCAGTTCTAAATCTTATGATCTTGTGAAGTGACCTCTCCCAAGGTCGTTAGTGGACCAATAACACCTGTCTTCAGCCTTCTGGTTCATGTCTTTCGTCTTTCTCCCCCTCCTTTCTTCCAGATTTGTCCAGGCTGTGTCTGGTTTCCCAGGTCCACAGGGCAAATTAAATAGCCAGTTTACTACAAGGTGTTAAAGATTGATAAGAGCTGGGACATTTGCATTTTAACTGGATACTGAAAAGTGTGACTTAAAAGATTAATTATCCGGGTGACCTTGGATAAGTCACTTCTGCTTTGGGTTGAGCAGTGCTTTCACCTGTAAAATGAGTGATCTGGACTCGATGACCTTTGAATTCCAGCTCCAGAGTCCTGATCCCAGCATTGCATCATCTCTCGGGGAGGATTCCTAAATGGAATAATTGTTTGGCTTCTCTAGTCGGCCGCTCAACTGTGTTAGAGGAGTTGGTCCTGGCATGTTTGTTTGATGTCATCTTGCAGTGCAGTGGTGGGCTACGTGTTACCACATTTGATGCCCCGGTTGTTAGGAGTAGGTCAAAACGGAACCGTGAGAAGTTGGAGGGTCTGCCGGGAAGGGCAGCCAGACCAGAGGAGCTTGATTGAGCTAATGGAGGGTGTTTAACCTGGAAAAAAGATAATTTCAGGGGCACTCAACTGTAGCATGGTTCTAGGAAGAACTGTCATATGGAAGAGGTTTTAGTTCAACTCCTTATGTGTGGCCCCAAGGGCCAATGGGTAGAAGTCAGTACATGGAGATACATGGAGGCTTAAAGTAAAGAGCAATTGTTTAAAAAAAAAACAAACATTTAATTTTATTGTTATATTTTGGTTTGTGTCATCTTAATTTCTGAATGTATCCCTGAATGTAACAGCATCCCTCCCAAAAAAGAACTATCTCTTATAATAAAGAATAAAAAAGAAAGGGGGTATGTGTGAATATGTTCAGCAAAACTAACCAACAGGTCAAAGAAATCTGACGTTTATGCTGTGTTCCACATCTGTAATCCCCAACTTGTGAAAAAAAAAGAAAGAGATGGAGATATATTCTCATTTTTCTTTTTTGGGGGTCAGGCTCAATTAACAATAATTTATTAGTTGACTACTTTGTGCCAGCACTTTCTAGGAGGTAGCAACTTGCATAGGAAGAGATACAAATGTCCCCTGGCAATGCGACAAAGAAAAAAAAATTGAAACAGTCCCTACTCTCAAGGAATTTCCTATTACAAGGAAAAACCACTTCAAGTTGAGTAGAATGGGGTGCCTCGAGAGTTAATGAGGTGTCCTTTACTGTAGATCTGCAAGTAAGGTTGGATGGGGGGTTGGTGGGTTGGTTTCTGTCTTCATATCCTCTCAGCATGTAGCACAGCTATTAGTGCTTAATAATAAATGCTTGTTGACAGATTATAATGAATACACTTGACCCCTTGAAGAAATATGAGAATGTGAATTCCCTCCCCTCTTTGTAGAGCTGGAGGATGGTGAGTGTGGAGCACTGTATAATGTCAGATCTGGTTGGGTCTGTTGGCTAATTTTGCTGAACTGATTCCTCTCACCCCTTTCTTTTTAATTCTCAAAAGAAGGAAGGAAAGAAAGACTGGATGACCCTTTGGAGATTGTGTTCCATGAAGAAGGGAATCCCCTTTCTGCTCTGGGTTAGGCTAAATGCTTCTCCTTTTTTATAATCTCTTTGGGATACAGACCTCGAAGTGGTATTGCTGGATCAAAGGGTAGGCACAGTTTTATTGCCCTTTGGCCTTAGTACCAAGTTGCTCTCCAGAATGGTTGGATCAGTTCACAACTCTACCATACCAACAATGCATTAGTGTCCCAATTTTCCCACAAATTCTCCAATATGTATCATTTTCCTTTTCTGTCGTATGTAGGTTAAATACTTCCCAAGAACCTTCCAATGCTGAGATTCTGTGATTTAAGCAGATTAACCCTTTGGTCACCCACAGGGGGCTGGGCCACCAGGAGTTAGAGCAGGGTCTCTTACTTATAAGAATCCAGTAATGATCACTATGGAGATCTGGCCACATTTTACCTTTCTTTGGCCTGAAAGGCTGAGGATGTTCTACTTTTCAAGACAGTCTTCATTCACAAGCCGGGTCTAAACCTTTGAAGTTAGTTCTCCTTGCAGAAATGACATTAGGCTGTAATATTCAGCAGCCTCCATGATGCATGGGGGGTCATTAACTTTCAGGGTCCTGCTGGTTTGGTTCATCAGGAAGCGCTCCATCAAATTTCCACATCCATTCCTTGACCTTTAAGAT